AGCAGCTGGAGCATCGCACAGACGCTAGTACGCATGCGTGCAGCGTGCGCGTGCACGAGGACGCCGCCAGCCCCATTCCAACCGAACAAGTTGGAACGGGGCGAGAAACCCACCCCTGTTCCATACCTTCAGAGAGCTCCACTCATCAACTGTATTTGATGCTGATGACAATATTACACACCCTGACACAGGGCAGGAACTATCCTCATCCTTTCAGGCAGCCACCTTTCTTCCAATCTCCAAAGTGGGCAGCCCACAGTGGTTCCAGTCACAATGGCACCCTGATGCAAAGCCACCCCCGGTCCTACTTTGCTTTAGTTCCGAGTCATACCTTTCCCCTACTTCAATGGAGGACCTAAAGTGTTCACCTGAGATTAGCAAACTATCATCTCACCTCATCAGCCATCCTTCCTCTGCAGGAAGGCGTGCCAAGGTTGCTTACAGCATTCTGACCCGCTCCCCCCAAAGCACCACTGCAGGCTTTTGGACAATGACTACAAGATTGTGAGTTCAAGACCTGAGATATCTTTTAACTTTAACTTTTAATAAATATATATGCCACCCAATCCCGTAGGACTCCATAGATATGAATTCTTTAAAAACTCTTGAGGTCAGTTTGACATGGCTTTATTGTTTGGTACAGTTGCAACTGTCAACATCCACATCTGGGTCAACTGGACATAGCCCTCTCTTCTCCTGTAGCATGCCAACAAGTGATTCTTCACTCCACCACACACATTCCTAGCGATACTGGAAAAATATTCTGTCCCGGGAGGGCAGCTGTTCATTGACCAAAAACTTTTTATTATTTGAACAGACAAGTGCCAAAACAGACAGGGCAAGAAGATCATAATTACATCGGTGGAGGAATTGAAGCAGAATTTTGGAACCTAGTCTGTCTTTTTCTCTTGCTCCTTTTGGTGTTTAAATTCTACCTGCAGCTGGACACAACCATTTCAGTGTGTTTACTCACAAAATATCAGCAGGAAATTACACTGCTCATGTCTGGCCTCATGCCACACAGTTGTGCAATCTCTAGTGGCTACAGCGATGGAAAAATAAGAAACTGAGCAACCAAAACACTTCCTACATCTCCATCCCTAGTTAAGTTTTTGCTTGGAACACTCTTCAAAATAAACATATATATAGAACTCGGCTGAATCCGTATTTTAAAATGGTTATTAGTTGGTTGCTCAAATGAAACTAAGAGGGCCTATTAGTAAAATCAACCACCATAAGCTGTTTTACATTCAAGAGGTTTGAAACCTTCCATAATATTTTTAAATGGATATTAAAAAGTTTTAGCTGTTTGCTTTCCAAGTTTATTACTGCTGAAAAGTAAATGTATTTTGTTACAAGCATGCCTTGGAGGAATTGGGCTACTAAAGCATTTACGTTTTTTTTTTTAAATCTTTGTCAGAATTTATACTTCTCTGAAGAACTTAAGACAGAGAATAGTTCCAACTGTTTTCAAATACCCCAAGACATGTTAGATAAATCGCTGTTAAGCAAAATGACCCTTTGAACTCTGAGTTCATGTAACTTCATTGTATGCTTGTTCAGCTACTTAAAACCCAATCAGCTGTGTGTATGTGCTTCCTCTCTCAAATAATCTTTGACAGAGACTTATCTACACCCTGAACATCACGAAGTCTTTTTTTTTTTACAAACTATCTTATTCTCAGTATTTTCTGATAAGAGCTTATGCTGATGTTGCCTTAATTTTACTTTACTTTACTTT